AAGGAACTTCCCATGGTTCTGTTGTTTAGTGGTCTATAAGGAACTTCATGACAGCTAATGTTATCCTAATGTGGCTCAGAACCTACAGTTTTGCTGACTTGCAGAGTACACAAACGGGAACACTCTTGATTACTATTAGGCAATAAAGAGTAGTTCATTTGAAACATTGAAAAGATAAAGAGTAGTTCATTTGAAACATTGAAAAGATTTATTTTGGGTCAGAGTTTCAAAAGTGTAACTCAGGGTCACTTTGCTCTATTATCCACGAGCTCCATTGTCCAAGGGCTTCTTTGTCCATGTGCTGTGTTAGGTAAAGCATCATGAAGTGAACATGGGGAGAAGACAGAGAGTAGCTGTTTTTCTGACTAATGGAAAACGTAAAATTCTCTGCTCACCACAAATATGATTATTGACCTTGGATAATCACATTTTATGGTGATTTTCATGCGATTTAAGTATAACATTTATCTGATTCCACATTTTTATAAACAGTACCACTATTACGTGTGCTTTGAAGGAAAATACTACTGCCAACCCACCCTTGATGTAGAGCTCATAAAATATACCCCGATATCAGAAATGCTGAAGTGCAAAATCCCCATCAGTCCTGGAGTTGATATGATATGTAGTATGCCCATATGACAGTAAAGTTGGGTGAGAGGAATTCTTCTCAGACAAGTTAGGAAATGCATTCCAGGCAGAGAGAACACTGCAAATCTATAACAATCAAAGATGTAAAGTGTTTGAGAAATGGATAAGACTAGGGTGCGTCCAACTCATAGGGTTTATGTGAAAAATGCAAGACTTGTAAGGAGAAGAGAATTGCCACAGAACTTGATGCAGAACCTGAGCTTCATGTTATAGACAACAGACAATAGTGAAAAATGCCGTGTACAGGAATGGCAAGACCAGGCTGAGCTGGGTACCTTGTTTGGTGAAGGAATCTTAGGAGATCACTTTTTCTTTTGTTATTAAGAAATGAATTATAACTATCAATGATATAAAGTTAATTGAAGGAACAAAAGACTCAAAAAGAACCTGAGTAAAAACAATGGTGGTGGGAAGAAAGAGGAAGTGAGGGAGGGAAGAAAGGAGGGAAAGAGGGAGACAGGGAGGGAGGGAGGACAGAAGGAAGGAAGGAAGGAAGGAAGGAAGGAAGGAAGGAAGGAAGGAAGGAAGGAAGGAAGGAAGGCAAGACTGTATACTGTATGAGCTATGTTAGGAGCATTGCAAGAACAAAGCAAAACATGAAGAAAAGGTAATGCTCCTTTTTTGCCTGGACAGCTGGCTAGATCCTTAGGAGGAAGACAGTGAAATAAACTTTGGACACGACAGCTTTGATGTGCGTGTGTGGCATACAGGTAGAGATGCTGTGTTTATGGGAGAGAGCTTCATGAAACAGCAACATGATGCTACCATCTAAAGAGTTTACACTCAAGAGTTCTGCGACTGAGTTACAAAGAAAATAAAAAAGATCTTTTCATGTTTCAAGAAGTTTATACGTTTATGTTGGGCTACACTCATGGCTATCCTTAGCTGCCTGTGGCTGCAAGTGGTTCAAGAAGGTAGTGGTTAAGACATATGGGTGACTGTGTCAGTCCAAAGACAAGATGTAGAATAAAAAGATCCCTCCACGTCTCAGGGCAGCTGAGTGTAGGGTCATATTAGAAGTTGAAAAAGTGAGCTGGAGAGATGGCTCAGTGGTTAAGAGCACTGACTGCTCTACCAGAGGTCCTGAGTTCAATTCGCAGCAACCACATGGTGACGTGCAACCATCTGCAATGGGATCTGATGCCCTTTTCTGGTGTGTCTGAAGAGAGTAATAGTGGTGTACTTATATACATAAAATAAATAAATCATTTTAAAAAAGAAGTTGAGAAAATATGCTGTGACAAGAGCCTGTGTGGAGCGTGTAGTAAGAAAACTAGTGTTCTGTTAGGGGTCTTCTCACTCAGAAAATATTAAGCAATTAGGGTTTGAGTGTTTTGGTTTTTTTTAAGCCTGAGGAGTCACATGCATCGTGACTCAGTTGATTCATGATTAGAATTATTTGTATATAAGCAGCAGTTCAGCTCTTGTAATTTTCCATTTGTAAATCACATCCTGTTGCCACACTGAGATGATGTGTTTGTCTTGATCATCCTTCCTTTTTCAGAACACTCTTAAATAATGTTGACAAAGCCATGGTACTTATTCCCAACAAATTTTCATTTCCTGAGCTAAACAGAAAGAACTTTTAATGGCACTTTTCTGGATTTCGATCTCCGTGGTGTCTAAACCTTTTCCCTTCTATTCCAGTAGGCTCTTGTGGATGCCAATTTACAGTGCAGGCCTAAGCAGTCTTGTTCAGGCATTTGTTTGTCTTGTTTGAGCTCCCACTTTCCCACCCTCAGATCAAACATGGCCAATAACGATATGGCCTTGGAAACCATGATGCTCACATTAAAAGTCCCCATAAACATAGCAGGGATCCTATAATTGAAAGAAGCCACAAAGCAACTGATTAGATCCTAGGTCTAGATCTTATAGGTGGTCTTTCCTTGCTGTTAAATTGGCCATTTGTATTTATTGCTTCGGCAGGGAAGGCTGTAACTGAAACTGGCCCTAATTCCAGCATCCTCCCACGCTTGGTCTTATCTCACGTTCTGTTACCCATGGACGGCGATAAAGTTCAACCTGACTCTGAATGAATAACTCAAGCTCTGCTTCCTGTGTGGTTATTTTGCCAGATAAGAGAATACGTTTTTTTAGTGTCAAGAAACTGTTCGGTAAAACTACTACTAGTAGCAGTAATAGTAATAAATAATGCAAAAATCCCAATAATTTTACCAAGTTGAACAAAATTTTACCAAGTAAAACAAGAAGCAGTGCCGGGCGGTGGTGGCGCACGCCTTTAATCCCAGCACTTGGGAGGCAGAGGCAGGCGGATTTCTGAGTTCGAGGCCAGCCTGGTCTACAGAGTGAGTTCCAGGACAGCCAGGGCTATACAGAGAAACCCTGTCTCGAAAATCCAAAAAAAAAAAACAAGAAGCAGTAAGTCTGCCTCCCCACACTGAATGCAGGCAGTTCCAATACACAAGTGGATAAATGTTCCACAATAGCTGAGACTGTGGCTGTCGGACC